GGCAGGCGGCAGCATGCAGGACTTTCGTTCATAGGGTTGCTGTGGGTCACCTGCGACTCAATGGCACTAACAACACCTCCACCACCACAACGTAAATTGTTCCCAAGTTTGTTTCTTTGTTCGTTTTTTTTGTTTGTTTGTTTTTATTATTATTTTTGTGTGAGTGTACCATCAAATCAGATCTGACTGGTACAGGAGGAGATTGTCCCTCCTTCCCCGGCAGAGCATCTGGTGGATTTGAACTGTGAGCCTCTGGGATTGTAGTTGCAGCTCCTTGCCACTAGGCCACCAGAGCTCCACTTCTTTGTTCGTTTTTTAACCTGTGGAAATTTCATTTCAATTACCCTTCCGATTATCCAGCCCTTATCCCTATGGCAGTGTTTCTCCATAGATGCACTGGGAGCATTGAGCTCTGAAATGAGTTCTGGTTGGAGAGTGTGTTTACTTCTAAAACCTCCCAGAATCTCTCTTGTGTATTTGTAGATGAGTGAAAGCAGCCTGTCATCCTTCACGTTCCCACTGTCTGGATCCAGTAACTCCGAATCCCTGGAGAGCACATCGAAGAAGAATGCTTGTAAGATTGGTTTTAAGCCTGATTTCCTCTTTGAAAATGCGGCTATCCCCACCCGTGCTTTCCTTTGTTAATTTACCTCTCAGCTCTCTTTTCCTTCCCCCAATTTTTCATTTTTATAACACTGTTGAGCCTTCCAGTTGGAACCGTCTGATACAGGGTCCACCTGAAGGTGATTTCCATCTTTCTCTCTCAGAGAATATGTATAAAAAATAGATTGACAAAAATTCTGAGCAATGGGATACTGTGCTCAAGCTACATTTTCTATTTAGTATTTACCCCAGAAGATTCACCAAACATTAGAAGTCAGAATTCTTAAATTTTTTTACTTATTAAGCAGCTTGACATCATTTGATTTTATTCCCCTCTTCTCTTTAATAAAATTCCAGCTCATCAAGAGATGTCATTAAGTGAAACCTTCTTTTTTCCATGAAGTTTGCAAAAAATTTGATTGAGAAAATTAATGTGATCCCCCTGTGTTTTAATTACATGAAATTATGATGCTGAGGGTTTTTTGGCTTGGATCATTGGCTGAGAGTTGTTCAAATTAAAGAAACTAACCATATGGCAATCTCTGTTTTCAATGTGACTAATAGTCTAGAAATTTAGGCACTTAAGTCCATGGATTTGATTTTTTTTTTTAATATAGCCATGACTTTATTTCTCTCAGCTGGGAATATGTGTCTCTCTCTATCCCAAGCACATTTTGTCCTCAAGTCATTTAAAATGGATTATACAGTTACATAACCGGTGCCTAAAATGTGAAGGAAGAAATGGAATTGCCCTTGTATTGTTTCCACTGAAGAAGTGAAGAGTTCTTATATAAGAAAAATAGTATGTGTAACCAGAACACTGGACACTGGTCTCTGTTTAAAAACAAAACAAGAGAGAGAAGGTGGTACAGTGGGTAAAGTGCTTCGTTGCTAACCAGAAGCCCAGCACTGTGAACCCACCAGCCTTTCCACACGAGGAAGATGAGGTCAACGGCTTCCATTAACATTACAGCCGTGAAGACCCTGGTTGAGGAGCAGGTCTACTCTGTCCTTTAGCATCTTTGTGGCTCAGAGAAGACTGAAAGATAATGTGTTTGGGGTTGATTGTGTTTTATTAAATATGCAAAGAAAGAGAAAAAAAATTATTGAAATATGCTATGAAGTGCTACCCAACTCCAGGAATCAACTCAAATTTTTATGAACATAAAAAAAAACCAACAACCTAGCCTTGAATAATTCTATTTTTTTTTCCTTTTTTAATCTGTACAGTGGCTTCTGAAATACAAGGATTAAGAACAGTTGAAATTAAAAAGGTAACTTGGGGATGAAAAAGCCTCAGAGATGTCTGCATATGTGTTTACCTCAGGCTTGGCCTGCTGGTCTAAAGTACCCTTCTGGAGACGTGGGCATTGTGTGCTGTGGGAGCACAGTTCAGTCTTTGGCGAGTTTCCTGGCCACAGTGCATTGTTGGAAAGTGACCTCTGTGTGCTCATTCTGTATCGTCAAAAATGGGATTGGCCTGGCCCCACACTAGAATGGGCCGTCTCACAAATAGGTTTTGCATTCAACAGTTATTTCCTGTTCCGCTGGAAGATAGCATGTGTGTGAGAGGAAAGAAAGGCTGCTGCAGTTCACTGAGCTTCTCCTCTGTGTAAACACTTTTGGAGAGCCTCTCTGTCATCATCTCTTTTGCAATTCACTGCAGCCCTGTGTGGAACCCTCCAGGCACTGTTCTTAGTGCCTTGTTACCAAAAGGTTGGCTGTTCAAACCCACTCCACAGAGGAAAGCTGAGGAAGTCGTCTTCTGGGAACATTTCAGCGCTGGAAACCATGTGGGCATTTCTGCTCGGTGCTGCGGGGTTGCTTTGAGGAGGGACCAGTTTGATTTCTGTGGCTTTAGTTTTGTTGATGTTTGCAGCCCTAAGTCAGTCACGTTGTAAATGGAGAGCGAGTAATGTGTTGAGCCTGGTGGCCTGTCTCAGAGTGTCGTGGGTGTGAGCTCCCGCCTTTGATACAGTTCTCTCTGATAATAAACATGGGGTCTTTTCCCTTTAAGTGCCTTTTATCAGCACCACTCAGGATTTTTATACAGTGTCTCTTGATCTCTTTTGTCTCCTAGACATACACTTGTTTTCCTAACTCACTAAGGCCTGTCTGACTTGTTACTGTTTTTGTTGTTGGTAGCTGCAGTCAAGTCAGCTGTGACCCGTTTCTACACTATGAACAGAGCTGAACCCCGCCTCCTGTCCCATCATCACGATCTCAGTCATGCTCACACCCACTGGGGGAGTCGCTCTGTCAGCCCATCTTGTTGAGGGTCTTCCTGTCATTTGCTGACCTTCTGCTTTTCCCCGTGTGATGTTTATTTCTTAGCACTTGCCCTCCTGACAACATTCCCAAGTATGTGAGACTTAAGTCTCACTTCCTTGCCTCTGAGGAGCACTCTCGCTGCACCTTCTCCCAGACATGTTAGTTTGTTCTTTTGGCATTCCAGGAGGTATATTCTGGACTTTTCGCCAGCACCACAATTCAAAAGCATCAATCTTTTTTGGTCTTCCTTATTCATTGTCCAACTTTCAGATGCATAGGAAGTAATTGAAAAGGCCTTATTTTTGTCAGGCATACCTTACGTAGATTTAAAATTGACATCCTTGCTCTCTAACACTTTGGAGAGGTCCTTGATGGCAGATTTTCCCAATGCAAAATGTCTTTTGATATCTACACAATTTTTTGAGCCTCAGTTTCCACCTTACATGTGACAAAGAAAGAAAATGTTGATGAAAAATAGCACTTTGACCAAATCCTTGTGCCTGTTCCTTGACAGGGACCCTCTGACTCATTAGGGATCAGCATTGCTGGAGGAGTGGGCAGCCCCCTTGGAGATGTTCCTATATTTATTGCCATGATGCATCCGAATGGAGTCGCCGCTCAGACCCAGAAACTCAGAGTAAGTTGCTCTGCAAGAAGCAGTGGTCCTCTTAAATGTGGTGACAATTTTTCAGAACTCCTTGATTGTAGGTACATGATCTGAAATGTGTGTTTCTGCTTTTTAAGTAGCTAAATCCAGCTGCTGCAAGGCATGCTTTGGGTAAGGGATAAAGAAGAGTCAGAGAAAAGAGAAAATGTTTTAAGTAAATTTGCAAATGAATGAGATGGGAAGATTAACATGACTTTTTTAAAATGTGTTTTGAAACTTTGTGGGACACACAAAGTGACCTTTTGTCAGGAGTTTCTATAGTTTGAATGCCAATTTAACTTTACTAAATGGGAGTTTTCACCAAGGTCATGTTTGATTATAGATTTTGCAGGAATTTTAACATAGCTGCAGCATACAGCATTTTATAACCTCTTTCAAAATTAAAGGATTATTCAAATGTCTAGCATGGTGATGATGTTAACTACCTAGTTCTCAAAGCATAAGAATCTTGAATTAAAGTAATTCAATCTCTATAAAATAAGATTGGTATGACCTCAGACAGAACCATGACTTAGTTCAAATGGTCTAAATTGAGAATAGCTTAATCTCCTTTGGTACTGAAATCTGTGAATGACACAGATTCTGAACTTAATCACAGGGGTCAGCACACTTTTCTGGAAAGAGCTAGCTACTACATCGTTTAGGCTTTAGGAACATGTGGGTCTCTGCTGCTGTTACTCCATCCTGCCATGTGTAATAGTGTAAAGGCCACCAAACGAACGTGACTGTGTTCCAACAAAACTTTATTAACCCAAACAGGCAGCGATTTGGCCCCTGGCTATCGTTTGCCAACCCCTGGCTTAGCGTCCTGCTGCATGTTTACAATGGTAATGTCCACAGAAGTTTTCATTTCCCAAAACTATCCAATATTCTATTCCTTCAATAGCAAGTAATGCCTTTCCCAGGAGAAGGGGGCCGCCACTTTCTCCCTGCTCCTTCCCTCAAAAGTGGTAGAAATCAATCATTATGAGCTCGTCCTGTTTTAGGGCTGCTATTACTGACTTCCAGGAATCAGTGGTTCCCTTAGTCCCAGTTGCTGATAACAGCATACATATGATGTCGAAGGTAGAAAAGGAAGTGACTGGTTGGTTCTGAACACCAGACTCCCCAGGGTTATCGTAGGTAATGGCTCTTTCTTCTTCATGATGATGGTGGTAATCTAGCGGTAGAACTCGTGCCTTCCATGAGGGAGACCTGGGTTCAGTACCCAGCCAGTCCACCTTTAGAACAGCTGCCACGTCTCTGTCAGTAGAGGCTTGCGTGTGCTTATGAGACTAAGTAAATTTCCACAGAGTTTCCAGACCAGATGGTCTAGAAAGAAAGGCCTATTTCCAAACACCAGCCCGTGAACTTCCTGTGGACCGCAGGGGCCCACCTGCAGGGAATCCCGGGCTGAAGGGACGGCATACAGTCCTAGCCATCGAGCATGGCTTCAGGAGTCCGTCCTCTGTCTGACAACTCACAGCATTCCTTCCTCCTCCCGCAGGTTGGGGACAGGATTGTCACCATCTGTGGCACATCAACTGACGGGATGACTCACACCCAAGCAGTGAACTTACTGAAAACCGCCCCCGGCCCCATTGAAATGCAGGTAACAGTTTAATCCCAAGCCCCATTTGGAACATGAGTTGCTTGAGGACAAAATGAGTTTTGATGTGAGAGCAATAAAAATGATTCAATCTCTTGCTGTTATTTAATATTTCCCTTGAACATCAGTGATAAAATTGAGCGTTCCAGGAAAGTACATATGAAACACATTCCTTAGCATTTTCTCCTGATGCTTTTATCGTCTCATACTTTATATGTGAAGGGCGTGGGGGTGGAGAATAAAATGCCCTAACAGTAAATGATTAATTGTCAGAATTTCAAGTCATGCGAGTATATTTTAAAAGTGTTTTTGAAAATAATTACCTATGAAATCATGTTAGCAAGGCATCAAAGAACTTTCTTTGTAGAACTGAATTAAAGAATATTTTCACTCTCAGTTGAAGAGACCTCTGGACCTGGTAAAATCTCCGTCTTGAGTTGTATTCAATGTTAGCAAAAACTCCTCAGTTGATAATGAAAACGTTGGGTTCTTTTTTTTCCAGAATTGCCGTGTAAAAGTGGCAGGTGTTGCCCTTTACCTTTTCTCTTCTGTTCAGGTGGTGGCTGGAGGAGAGGTGAGCGTGGTCACAGGCCTGCACCAGGAGCCTGCCAGTTCTGGTCTGTCCCTCACAGGTCTGACGTCGAGCAGTATATTTCAGGACGATTTAGGGTGAGCTGCTGTTTTATGGCTTGGGTACCCTGTGTCACTTAGGGAGACATTCTGGGTCTCGTGCACACATCCCACAACATCGTATTGGTGGCAGAACTGACTTATAGCTGACCCTCCAGTGGGTTTTTGAAGCAGCAAATCACACAAGCAGAGGTGACCCACCTTTCTCCTGCTGAGCTACTGAGGTGTTTGAACCACCAGAGAGAGATGTGGGCTTTGAGTTAGTAGAACGGCTCCCTACAGACGATGCCACCAGAGCTCCCTAGTGTGCGTAAGTTGTCGTTGCTTTTGTTAAGTGCCATTGAATTGTAGACGACTCATAGTGACCTGATGAATGAAAGACCTGAACAGTTGTAAAACTTTCATTTCTCCGAGTTTATAGGCTTTCCAAAGGCAAGCTATTTCATATACATATGTTGTTGTTATGTGCCGTCGAGTCGCTTGTGACTCCTAGCGACCCTGTGTGCAACAGCCCTAAACTCTGCTCTGTCCTGTGCCAGTCACACTGTCTCTGACACACCCATCCCGATTACCCCAGTCAGTGAATCAATCCACCTCATAGAGGGCCATCCCCTCCTGTACTGTCCCTTCACCCTCCCAAGCATGATGTCCCTCTCCAAGGACCAGTCCCTCCTTACAACATGTCCAAAGTATGTTAGACGGAGCCTCAGAATCCTTGCCTCCAAGGAGCCATCTGGTTTAACCCTTTCCAAGATGAATCTGTGTGCTTTCCTAGCAGTCCATGGTACCCTCAATACTCTTCTCCAGCACCACAGCTCAAAGGCATCAATTCTCCTTCTAGCCTCCTTACTCATTGTCCAACTCTCTGATGCATAACAAGTAAGTGGAAAAATAGATGAGCAATGACCTATTAAGATTACATGCCTCTCAACTGTTCAACAATTATGGTGTGTATTTGGCATGGATGAGAGATAGATAGATAGATATAGCTAGCTAGATAGATATGATAGATATGATAGATAAATATGATAGGTATGATAGATGATAAAGATATAGATAGATGATACATTAGATAGATGATACATAGATAGATAGATAATTACATACATACATACATACATACATACATACATACATACATAGGCAGATAGATACTGATGGATAGATGGACAGAAGGACAGGCATGCCTGCACCTACGTACTGTCATTGTCAAATATTAGAGGCTGAGAGACATTTTAGTCATGAAATAATCACCCTGTGTGAATTATAGTACGTCAGGTGTGCCCTTTGGAATATTCCACCATTGACTACTCATTAGCTATTCCTTATGATTGGGAAAAAATCAGTTACATAAGTCATATGAGGGAACAGAAGAAGAGGGGCTACGTCAGAATTTTTAGGGGAGAGCAACTGTCTTGTTTCAAGGACTCTGGCGGCATAGTTGACAGGTAGTTGTTACGTTAACCTTAAAGCCGTGCATCTGGTGGTTCAAAGAAGCTCAGTGGAAAAGATGTGCATTCTCCCCTTGTGACTTTACAGCTGTAAAAAGGCAGTGGAGGGTCAGCTACTATGAGTCAGAAGAGCAGTTAGAGAGGAAAAGAGAGACACTACACCGTTAAAGGAGGCTTGGCTGCCCGGTTGGTAAGCTTTCTGCTGTTAAACAACAGTGGGGCAGCTGGGGCATTCCAGCCACCGAATGGGAAAAAGGTGTGGCAGTCAGCTTCCATGACGAAGCTTTGAAAACCTCCTAGAAACCCTTGGACGGCGTGGTGACCCTGCTCAGTCCTGTAGAATCGCTGCATGTTGGAATCAACTTGACCAGCAGTGGGTTTGTGTTTGCCCATGACAAGGCTTATAATGTCTCTGTGTGTGTTTTGGGATGCTGGCATTTATGACTTATCCCATGACACTGCCCTACACTTCAGCACGCCCGTTTAAAATAAACACTGAAAGAATGGGCTCCTACATGCCGTAAGAACATGCCGCAAAGATGGTAGTTTAAAGGAACTGAGAGAAATAACACAAGGGTGTTAAGAAGGATTTTATTAGATTATGCAAATTGACAACTTCGCACACAGCTTGCACTAATGATTCAAGAATCTCAAAAATCTCCAGAATATGCCCACGGCGGCAAGACAGAGAGTTAGGCTCTAGGTGGCTGTCAGAGAGCCTGCAGGGAGCAGATCCATGGACATTTCAAAAACTCTGAACCTCATTCTTGTCCTTCCTTCTGGTGCAGACCGCCTCAGTGCAAGTCCATCACACTGGACCGAGGACCAGATGGCTTGGGCTTCAGCATAGTAGGGGGCTACGGCAGCCCGCACGGAGACCTGCCCATTTATGTGAAAACCGTGTTTGCAAAGGTAAACGTGCCGACCGTGGCCAGCACCCCCCACATCATGCATTAACGGTGGTCAGCAGCTGGCTTATTAGTTTATGGCCTGAGGTAACGCCAACTGGCTAACAGGGGATCATTTTCTTGTGGAACTCCCTACAGAAGCAGATCGTTAAACTTTTTTTTGGGGGGGGGTCCAATTTGAGGTGTAGTTTCTGTTTAAAGGCAAATAGGCCCGAGTTGAAATGCCAGGGGAACTGAGAGCTCACAGAAACATTAATGAACTTGGTTAGACAGTGAGGCTCATTTAATTCCTTTTCAGACTGGTACATGAGATTATCTTTAGAAAATAGGATAATTCAGATTTCAATGCATTAGAGAACTGGCTTTTCTTTCTCTTTGTACTACTTTTTGGTGGCAAAATGGAAAATCTGTACAGAAAAACAAATCATACACATGTGCAGATTATTGATAGGCATTTTATGTTGAACTTGATTGAATTAAACAGGAAAATAATTAACGACTAAATTGTGAAGGGTATTCAGTAGGCCTATTGCCAACATTTATAAGCAAGTGAGTCAATAACAAATTCTCACTTATTAGTATTTTAAAATTTTTAATAAATTGTTCTATATTAAGGATGTTTGAAAAAGAATAAAGCTGTTGCAAAATGCTGGTTGAAACCAATGAAATAATTTAAACCCTTATAATTATCACTGTATTGTTAAGTAATTTTTCTAAAGCCACAAAGTTGGACAAAATTTTGTGCAGAAGAATGCTCAAATCCCCACAATTTTTCAGTGCAGAGGAGCACAAAGTATGTTAATGTTATTAATATTATTAGTATATTAATATTATTAGTATTATGAGCCCTTTAAATATTGACCTGTGGAAGCATCCTTTTCTTATTTTTAAAACGGCCATTACTGTTGCTTTTAGCCATTTTAGTCTGAACAGTAAGTTAGCTGTAGGTTTAATTTTCAAGATTATTTTTTAAAACTGTTGGTGTGTCCAAAAATATGACCAACATTTGCCAGGGAATAGAAGAGCCGTGTCGTCCTTCTCACGGCCGAGGAATGCTTTATTTAAGGAATGCTAGTTAGAACATATTTTAAGAATTTCATCATTATGGATTCCTCATTAACTTTTCCATATTTTTAATCTTATATTTAATTACACAGTTGCCTACTCTAAGCACGCCTTAAAATGAAGCTCTTCTGCAAACAGCAATGCCTGTCTTTGAATTATTTAGGGCCCATAAGAAAAAAGCAAGACCCACTGACCCTTAGAAAGTAAGAAACCAAGGTGTCTTGAACAGCCTTTGCAAAACCATAGAATAAGTGTGAGTCATGAGAGGGTTTGCCATCCATCGTCCATGCCTTGTCCTGCCCCTGGCAATGTACATGTGGACTTTGAAATTGGCTTTGCTTCTGTAATTTTTAATTTTTTTTTTCTGGATCACATATCTTTGTCTTGTAAAGCTGCGTTTCTTCCTACATTGTCCCTGTCTTCTGTAAGTCTTCTTTACAGGAGAGAAAATTCTAGGTTCTAGGAAATCATTCCTACTAGGCACATTCACAGAGGTTCTTGATGAATTTGAGATTCCACCCCCTGCTATACTGAAAAGCAAAACCAAACCAAAACAACAACCAGACATCACCTTGTAACTAATCTACTGACTGCTGGATTCCCTCCCAAATTGTGGTCTCAGTGCTAAAACCATTGTCGAAGCGGTGCCTGTTGTGTCCTGCTAGTGGCTGTCATGCGCACAGGAGCACCACCACCAGTGCTTGACCACGCTCAGCCAGTTCTGTTCTTCTGTAGGTCTAACTCTGTTAATTTGCTATGAGGCAACATTTCAGAAAAGTAAACAAGCCTACCTCTAATCGCAGGGCGCAGCCTCCGAAGACGGGCGTCTCAAGAGGGGCGATCAGATCATCGCCGTCAATGGGCAGAGTCTCGAAGGCGTGACCCACGAGGAAGCCGTTGCCATCCTTAAGCGGACAAAAGGCACTGTCACTCTGATGGTTCTCTCATGAATTGCTGCCACCCGAACCCTCCTTTGCATCCTTCTCTGTACAGAAAAAGGAACCCATCTTGTGGACATACATTCCCAGGCTCTGCTCATCAGACTTTTTAGATCTGTGGAGGTGAAGAACATATGCTTCTTTTTCTTCTATGGACAGGGTTTTCTTAACAGTCTGCCATCATCCATCCTTTCCCTTGGCTTCTTGTGGCCCGAAACATAAAGAAAAGAAATATTTGCATCATTAAATCTAGGCTTTCTTTGGGAAGTTATCTGATATTATAACCAAGTAGACAAAAGGTTCAGGGCTGAGGGCAGAAAGCAAAATCACTGTTAATGTCGGAAATGGAAAACTGAAAGATGATCTTAAAGAGTTTTATAAAAATGTTATGTTGCCCATCCATCACCTTGAGCACAAAAGAAA